TAAACATCGGTGTCTCAAAGGTGCTTTAAAAAAAAAAAAAAGTAAGTAGATGATGATTTTTTGTTGAGGAAGAGGTTTCACTTCTCTTCCAAGAAGCTTCTTTAGTTCTGACTGGATGGTGGCGGAGGGAGGAATAGGAGGATTATATTCCTTTTTAGTCATCTTATTATTAGCACACTCTCTGAGAGCAGTTGAGGCTGCTTGGGGGTTTATCTGTGCTGTCAGGGTCACCTGAATCAGAGTGCAAATGGTTGCGGGATCTTCTTGGAACTGCAGAAAGGACTGTGTTGTAAACAGGAGATAGTTGATGTCATATTCCTCCCACTCTGTTGAGAGGGGTGGGGCTGTTCAATTGAATAGATACAAGATGAAAACCACATGTTGCAGCTGTCAAAATCTTACCCAGGTCCTCACAGTGTATGGTCTTCTACACTATGATCAAATTTGAGGAAGAGGCAAATTGGCTCTTTTTCCCACTGATTCAGCTCTCTATCTGGGTAGCTTGGTGGGGGCATGAAATAACTCAAGATAGTCATGCCACAACTATCTTCTTAACTGTTTTTTGGTCAATTTCTGATTTCAAGATAAAATTAGCTCTTATAGCGTTAAACTGGTAAATGTTTTTGTTTATATTTGTTCCAACTGAACATTACTTTTAAGAAAGCAGTTGTACGTCTTTTTTCATTTTATTTGAAAATCTTATGTGATGTTTACATTTTGTACATTCTCAATATATTCCTTCTTTTTAATTGTTTTCTTATAATAGATTTTTTTTCTTTAAAGAAAGTTAAATTATAAATAACTGGTATTTACATTGTATCAGAGGTGGGTTCCTACCAGTTCACACCTATTCGGTAGAACCGGTTCGTCAAATCTACCAAACCGGTTAGAAGTTCCACCAGTGAACCCAGAAAGCAGGCCAAACCTACAGAAGAGGTTCCAAAATTTTTTGAAACCCACCACTGACAGACAGACACACACACACACACACACACACACACAGAGAGAGAGAGAGACTGACTGACTGACTGACTGACATAGAGAGAAAGACAAATAAATAAATAAATAAATAAATAGAAAGAAAGAAAGAAAAAGAGTGAGAGAGAGATGAAAGAAAAAAAGAAAAAAGGGACAGAGACAAAAGGAAGGAGGGAGAGAGAGAGTGAGAGAGAACACATGGCCGGCAAGCCACTCCCACCAGGTCACGTGGCCGGCAAGCCACTCCCACCAAGGAGGCCACACCCACAGAGTAGATTCCAAAAAAATTTGAAACCCACCACTGCATTGTATTATCACTTCTATTGCCTACAGAGTGAGGATTGCTAGCTTTTGACCATTCCACAAAATTTTACTCAAGAATAAAGAAGTCATCTAATGTCCAAATAAAAGCTTTTTCCCGCTTCTATGAAAGTGACAATTGGCCTGCTGTGCTGTTCCGCTCACTCAGATGCACACGTAACGGTGGTTTAGTAAGTTTATTGATATTCCCCAGCAGTTCCCTTCATCAAAAATCCAGAACTGTTCCAATTAAATCCAGCCAAAAGCAGACCAATGCTAGTCCACAGAACCAATGGCCAATGAATCCATAAGGCACTTGAAAGTTTCCCGAACAGGATAAATCCACCAGGCAAAGTTAAAACCACAACCCAAGAGTGTTCATGAAGCAAGAAAAGTTCAGATTTCACAAAGCACAATCCAAAGTCAAGACACGGCGTTCAAATCCGAAGCAAGGCAGGAATTCCCACGACCAGGAAACATACAGCTCAGAAATGAATACGTTCTTCCCAGCAGCATCTCCATCTGTCTGCTGTGCTAAATAGCCAGCTTCTGGTGCAGCCCATCAAGAGGGATGAGGCTGCCTCCTCGGGAGGAGTCAAGCTGACCTTCACTGCTCCTGCCTTTCTCTGCCCTGATGAGGTGTAGGTGGCAGCTCTGCCCTGATGAGCCAAGGTGGCGCAGTGGTTAAATGCAGCACTGCAGGCTACTGCTAGATCAGCAGGTCAGCGGTTCAAATCTCACCGGCTCAGGGTTGACTCAGCCTTCCATCCTTCCGAGGTGGGTAAAATGAGGACCCGGATTGTTGTTGGGGGCAATATGCTGACTCTGTAAACCGCTTAGAGAGGGCTGAAAGGCCTATGAAGCGGTATATAAGTCTACTGTTATTGCTATATATTATTATTGCTATTCCCCCATCTCTGACTTGACTACAGCTGTGTGCTTTCCCCACCTGAAGCCTGGGGGCTATCCTACTGCAGCTATGCTTCAGTCAAATCACTCTCAGCCGGCTGCTCATCCATTTTCTCTCCCATCAACCACTACCCCTCACTTGGACTTGAAACCCCCGCCTTGGAGCCATTGGGCAGCCTTTCCTGACGTTCCTGGGACTGGTTCATCCTCCTCCAAACTGACATCCAGAGAGGCATCTGGGGAACTGACTGGGGGAGTCACCACAGCTACCTGGAAAGGTGAGTGGACTGGATGCTTTTTCCCTCCCAGGCTTAGCTCTCAATAGCAATTGTTGATGCGCTCCTGGCCTGCTGCAGTGACATCATTCTTACCTCAAAATGCCCAGGGTTAATGTAGGGGCAGGCTTCCCTGACCACTCTTTACTGGATGCTCAAATAGTTAGCAGCCAGCATGAGTTTTTCCAATCCTTCTCATCGCATCGTATCTAAAGAAGTCAGAAATTCCCAACTTCTTTTTATTGGATGCGCTCATATCTTTGATACTTTATTCAATGGAGTTTTATATCTGCTGCCAAAACTATTTCTCTTAAGTTTTTTTTTTTAAAAATATAGAAATAGGTTCTTAATTCTGTTTCCAGTGATGTGCAAACGGAGACAACTAATAGTTACCACAGAAGAGAGGGGTAAACTTTTTAAATAAATAACTGAAGAGTGACTGGATGAGGAACAGAATAACAGGAAGACTTCCAGACAGAAAATGAGAACCAGCTGTGGGAGCCCTCAAAATCTTTTATCGTGGTCTTCAGGGTGAATGGCCTTCTACAGTATGATCAAGTTTGGGGAAGACACAAACTGGCACGCATTGGGTTCAGTGAGAAGCTGAGGAAGAAGGGGGAGATCTGGCGGTAATTATTTAGGTGTCCTACAGAGTCAGACTTCAGGATGGGCACCTTCGAGTGGAGACCTTGAATAATGGAAAAAGTAAATGTCTGAAGTTCTACCTCTTTCCCAGCTTCCAGACTGTAGTCCCGGTTTTCCATACAGGATTCTTGCCTGGTAAATTGAAATTCTAAACGCAAATAACACTGGATAAGTATATTATCAGGGCTGATGAGATGGATGATTAATGGCCTTGCTTCTTTCTATGTGTGCCTTACAAAGTAGAACAGTTGTGTGTTCAGTTGGCTGAGTGGCAGCCATTTCCATTTGGATTCAGCCAGCCTTTGTCCAAGGAGAGTTTTCCAGCCCTAATAACATAACAACAAGAGGAAAAAGCCTTCTGCAAACAAGTCACCTTCCCCCACCTCCTCAAGATGGTACTGAGAGTATGTCAGTCCAGGATCCCCACCTTTACCAAAAGGTCCAGGATCAGGGTGACAACAGGGTGCAATAGTCAAGGTAGTCGTGTTCAGATTCAGCAATGGACTCTAAAGCATCTAAAGGGAAAGGAAAATCACTTTTCACTGAAGAAAAGCTTCCAGCCAAAAAGTGCTTGGAGAATCATGGACGCAAACAGCCTCATGTGCAGGAGGAAAGAAAGATCTTAGAATCTGAGATGAGAGGAGGAGGAGGAGGGGAAAGAAGAAGAGGAGGAGGTGGTGGTGGTAGTGGTCAAGAGGAATCAACTCTTTCCATGGGATGAGCTTGGGAATCATCATAAGAGATACCAATCTCTTTAAGATATACAATAGCAATAGNCCCACAAGGGAGGCCACACCCACAGAGTAGGTTCGAACAATTTTTGAAACCCACCACTGGTTTGAACCCAACATTCAAAGATTCCGCCCTACTGACCTTTTAAAAGTGAGATATTTTTGTTGGTAGTAGGTCAGTGCCCCCTTGTGGTCTGAATGAATTCTTATTTTACTTCTACATATTCTGTTAAGACACTTTTTTTCTATTCAACTGATTGCCGTAACTGCCTTTAACCCCTAGACTAAAATAGCTCTGTAATCTATCCTTCTCAAAACTGATTATCTGTATTTTAATATTTAATCAAAAAGCACCTAAACATCTAAAAAAAAACTTAAAACGCCTAAATATTTTAACTTATTTTAAGTTTAAGTTAGTTACAGTGTGGCATGATGCTTGAATCCAGCCATTATAAATAATACTGGCTTGAAAAATCAATGGATGGATTTGGTAAGCTTCCTGTACAGTGGGATAGTATCTTTTCATACTTGAAGTGTTTTCATACCTGCCTATAATCAGCATGTATTTGATCCATTTGATCCTTTTGGGTGAAAAGTTATAAGCCCAGAACCATAAAATGAAATGAGACAGCCTACAGCTATTTTTAAAAGCTGAGTTTCTTCTGGAGGCAAAGGCTGTCAACTCCATAACCCTGTTTTCTATATTGGGAGGAGAAGCTGGGAAGAGCCAAGATGCCTTCCTGGTGAGCGGCACTAAGGCTTCAGATCCATTTACCTATTTGGCCATTTTCTGTTTTGCACTTTGTCAAAACAGTCTGAACTATGTTTTAAAAATCTACGTACCACAATTACACTTGAGCGGCTTTAGTAAACATAAAACCGTCATCGACTTACAACCATTTTTTTTCCAGTGGTCGTTCAAAGTTACCACAGCACTGAAAAAATGTTACTAGTTGCAACCAGTCCTCAAACATATGACTGTCGCAGTGTTCCCACGGTCATGTGATCAACATTTGGATGCCTGGCAATCAGCATGTACTTATGATGGTTGCAGCATNTAATTAAAATACACAAGAGTCATACAGCCATACAAGTCGAGAGGGGAGGGGAACTCATCAACCCCAGGAAGGAAGGAGGAAGAAGAGCAGTGAGTTTTGCTTACCCATTGTTTGCCGTCAGCCCTAAGAAGGTTTGGATCACAAGTGGCAGTTCAGATTTAACAATGAACAAGTAACTGGACATAGCTGTGAAAAGAGAAAGCTGTCAGGATCCCCTGAATGTCCTTTTTGGGGAAGAGTGAAAACAGTAAGATGGCATTTGATTGCCCATCCTTATCCTCAGGCTGAACACTGGATATTGGTAAAAAAAATCATCATTGCCATCAGTTTGTAGAAGTCAAGATCACAATGCCCCTTTACTCAGCCTTCTTCCTTGAACTTCATACACACCCCCCAACTATCAGAAGCAAATATATGCAAGTATACATCGCTTTGTTATCCCTTTCTGACCCAACAGGGAAATGGGAAAGCTTTACCTCCTATGTTGTGTATTGAAATTATGACCGCAGCCACCACTTTGCCCCCATGGCCAAAGGCCTTCAATCCCAGCTGTTCATAAGCTCTAATTCCTAAATAGGAGAGAGAAAGGGTTCAGATAGGTTGGTTTGTAATTCTAGGGTGATAACACTATCAGTCTTAACCACTGTTCAAAATTATGCTCCTTTTATGCTAGCAGTCAACACACTCAACGATCCAGTTACGGTAGGAACTGACACATTCCTCAACATATTGAGTTTTTTTAAAAGCATGCAGCTCCTTGGTAATAATGATGTCCTAAGGACAAATTGTGCTCTTCAGACACAATCTGGCTGCGCAACAAAAAGAGCCATCTTTGAATGCCAGTCCAGCTTCCTGTATGGCCCACTGATCAATTTCAAAACCAGGTTTCAAGGCATCTACAGCCTGCACTAATTCTTGTTAGATCACAGCCCTTGGAGAACAAGACTTTTTAATGATCCAAACTGATAGAAGACGCGGATTCTAATAACAGCAAAAAATTCTGAACACCACTCTGAAATCCCTTAACAGAATACACCCCTGCATTCTCTTAGTTTTATTTCTACCCCCAATGAGTAGTATGGCTAAGGTCAGTGTCTCACCCTGTGGCCCATAACAAATGCTATGGAGTCTCCTGAACTGTGACTTACCAACAACTCCAGCACACTTCAGCAGCAGATGAATGGAATAGGAGGAGAGCAAAGCAATGCAGATCAAAAGGATCCTGGAAGAAGGACAACAATGAATGTCAGCCCAATCAATGCTTCTTTCACAGAAATGGAACAAATCTGGAATGCCTCTTCCATGGAGACAAAGAACTCTTTCCAATCCTCATCTGGACTGTTGAGTTCTAGCCCAACCCTACTTGAATTCACAAATTCCATCCAATCCCTGCTTGGGATTTAGTTCTTACAATCCATCCAGCAGCGGACCCGCAGGTGGAAAACGCAGCTGAATTTCTACTTGCTTCCTCCCCATTGGATTGTGGGTTTTTTTTTCCTGGGTACCATGCTGTGGGAGTTAACACTCACACAAAGAGGGTGATTCCCGTATTCCTCATGGCATAGGCCAGGCCCAGGATGCCACTCCCCATGATGGCGTTGCTCAGATTAAAGACTGATATCCCAAACGAAGTCTTTCCCTCAAACTGCAGCCGAGATTTAAGAAAAGAAACAAAAACCAAATTTCAGAAATTGGGTGGGAAAAAGCCTTTGGGCCATATGGAAAACAAAGCACTAAACCTAATAGAAGTATAATACATGAGGATGAAAGGGGGAAAATGATACCAACCATTAAATAGCCAAGGGTCATCCAGAAAAGAAAGTTGAAGTGGCCTGCATGAGTGTCCCTATAAAGTTACCAATTACTATACAACATTGCACTGTACCAGTCTGATTCTTACAGATTTATACTTTATATATTTTTGGAGGTCTGCGTTTGACTCAAGTGTGTGGGAACACTTGTACCAGAATGAAGACTTCTAAGACACAACAAAAGATGGTTCTCAAAAGAAGAGATGACTCAGTGAACAGGAGAAAACAATGACAGTCAAATTAAAAAGAGCCAGGAGATAACACAAATCTATAAAGGTGGGGCTGATTAAACCTTGTTGGAAATTATAAATATAGGTGGCCATGATATAAATAAATAATAAAATATAATGAGGTAATACTTCTAAAATACCTACATGATATAATAGGCATGCTAACAAGATCACAAATCATGGGCAACATTCGGTAGAAGTCTGAGATATTCTGGGAACCATATCCTATGTCTCAATGCAACAGTTGTGCAATGTAAAAAATAAATAAATGACACTTGTACAAGGAAAATTCTTCAATCCTGTTTCATTAGGTCATCCTGGATTGGTAGACATCGGCAAAATGCATTAAGAAATAGTTGAGACATTTGAATTTTACTTTCCGGGATAAGTAGAGGAATGGGAATAAACAGGAGCTGGTTGTTTTCATGATGGAAGTAATGTTATGTCATCCTACTGCAAGTTCTGCCCTTTTGTGCAGTATGTGCATGCAACGTCATGTTGCACGTATAAAAAGATGGGTCCTTGGTGTTTGCTGAGCTCATCGATGCTAGTAGTAGCACTGATGATATTACCTAGTTTGGGTAATGAAACATCTACAAGAAAGAAAAAAACCAAGCTCAGAGGGCACCAAGGACTGCGTGACCCATCAAAACCGCGTTCCACAAAAGCGCGGTCGACGAAATCGCGTATGTGACATCATCACAACGCGACGAAAAAGATCGAAAAATTGAAATAAAAATTAAATTACAGCAAGCCGATTCACATAAAGGTAAGGGTTAGGTTAAGGGTTAGGGTTAGGGTTAGGTTAAGGGTTAGGGTTACGTTTAGAGCGTTAGCGTTACGTTTAGCGTTAGGTTAAGAGCGTTAGTTTTTTCGTCACGTTAAGGGTTAGGTTTAGGGTTAGGTTTGAGGGGGTTAGGGTAAGGTTTTCGCTTTATTTTTACATTTTTCGATCTTTTTCGTCGCGCTGTGATGACGTCACATACGCGCTTTCGTCGACCGCGATTTTGTCGTGCACGGTTTTGTGGTGGAACCCAAGGACTGAGCTACAATTATTCTCCTTTATTAGTACAAATAAGCATTAAGCCTTCCGTCACAATTCCATGCAGCTTAGAGATATCTGACTGACATCATCACCTACATCAGTGAATTGGCTGAATTTCTTGCTGGCAGCGTTAGGCAAGAAGCCATCTTGTTCTGCTGAAATACGTTCCTCTTCCTCATACCTGAAATGGAAGGGAAAGTAGGAAAGGTCAGTGGAGTCCTAAACCAGAACTGTACCTGTTAAGCATCACAAATCAATGGCTCAAGCTAAACAGGTCGTGCTGTGTTCCAATTCAAGTGTCTTGAATCTTAAAGAGGTGGTGGAAAGGAATGAAAAGAGAGGAAACGAAGTAGATGAAACCATCATGCGTTATTGTACTTAGCATAAGTATTGAACTACTATAATGTGATTTACATATTGTCTGGTTGCTCTAATAAAATTAATGTGTTAATTTAAAAATATATAGATTTGGCAATCGTTAACTCTCTTGCCAAATTCTGACGTAACTATACAATGGAGCCAGTGCATTAATATTAATCAACTAAATTACTACTATGTTTTGCTTTTGCTTCAAATACTTGGAGATAATTACTATGACGAGTTGTAACAATTATCCTGCTTGATTGTATCTGGTATTAATACCTGCATGTCTGGGTGTTGGATGCTAGAGAGGACTTGTTCTGGTCTTTTATTTTCTGGTCCTGTGTTCTGGTTTTGTTGGGCTTTGATCTTTAATGACATTTCCATATATGCAAACTGAGATCAGGCTCTCTATGGTTACTTACACTTGTCATTTAGTGCAGTGTTTCTCAACCTTGGCAACTTGAAGATGTCCGGACTTCAACTCCCAGAATTCCCCAGCCAGCATCCGGACATCTTTAAGTTGCCAAGGTTGAGAAACACTGATTTAGTGGTCCAGTGCCAAATCTGGAGCATGGAAAAGTTTTTCAGATGTATACCTGCCATTCATTCATTCATTCATTCATTCATTCATTTATTGAATTTCTATGCCGCCCAATCCCGGAGGAGTCCGGGCGGCTTACAGAAATGAAAAAAAGAATTTAAAAGGATTATTAAAAACAATGGGACACAACAAAGTTAAAAAGGAACACAACAGACACCCAATCAGACGGGGCTGGACCTCCATCAAGGGGTCAACAGCCCCCAAGCCTGCCGGAAAAGCCAGGTTTTAATGGCTTTGCAAAAGGCCATGAGAGTGGGTAGGGCCTGGATCTCTGGGGGCAGAGATTAAATTTCTGGACCTAATTAACAACTGGAAATTTGGTACCCTTGCTAATGAAGTTGATTATGCAAAAATGGTGCTCCCTGAAGCCAGTGCAAAGAAACAACACGTTGAGAGCGCCTGATCAAGCTAATGACCTCTAATAGTATTTCTAAGACACATCTTCACCATCTGGGTGAAAACTGGGTAGTTCTGGGTAGTTTCATTGAAAATTTAAAAAAAACAGGGGGAAAAAGTCCTGAATTGGAAGCTTGACAAAACATGCAACTAAGAAACGTGTTTATTTGTTTGCTGCTGGCAGAGTGGTTTCTAACACTTTGGAGGACAGACTGATGATCTGCGTATTAATTTTGCCACTAGAAGTAGTTGCTTCTCAATCTGCATCTTTCTATATTGCCTCCAGGGTTTTTTTATGTTACAGAAATATTTTCCCCCATGTGAAGGAACTGCTCTGGTGTCTCTTTGCCTAACCTGAATTCCTGCTTTACCGGCTTTGATTCTGCTCGCTCAGTTAATTTCCATCTTTCTCACATGCTGCCCAATTCTGCATGCCCAACCTTCTTCATAACTTCCAAACTAAAAATATATAAATTGTCAATTCCCCTCTCTCTTTTCTCTTCCATTTCTATACCTATTTGTATTTGTTTTGAAGGCTGCATGAAAGTATATAAACAATTATTATTTCTCCTAAAATTCACATTTTAAATAAATTCTCCTAATATACAGATATAAATTCCAGAAGTATTGGGCGTATTAATTATAATTAACATTTTATGTGGTTTCTTGCTGTTCCCCTTTCACATGTAAACTGCTCATCTTTCCTTGCAACAATCTTTGCCTTTTGGGCTGTATTTCTAAGTCGTGACCCTCTTCTGCAATGTGCAGATACTACAGGAATATAGATGCATGCTTCAGTTTGCAAAACTTGCAAAGTTGTAAATTTGGTTCATTTTTATTATGCAACCACTCGTTCAGCAGCTACTTATGAAAGCCCTGATTGAGGTCCTCGTTGTTGCATTTGTTGCAGTGTCCCCAAAGCCATGTGATCACAGCTTGGACACTTGGCAGCCAACTCACAATTATGTCACAAAATCCCATGGTTAATTGTGAGCTTCACCGCTGGTTTCTGAAAAGCAAAGTCAAAGGGGAAGCCAACCAGAGGTCACACAAATGGTGATCATCTGTCTGTGGGAGACGGAACCATGCTGGATTTACAGCCACTGGGACTGCCACAACTGCCACTATAAGTTGGCACAGTGACATGATGCTGCATTTTATGATGCCATCACTTAGCAATGGAACCGACAGGCCCAATCATTATAGCGAAACGAGGACTCCCCGTACATATATTCGTTGCATTAATATCTCACCTTTTCACTGGGAGCTCAATGTGGTATATATACAGAGCAGTGGTGGGATTCAATTTTTTTAACTACCTGTTCCGTGGGCGTGGCTTGGTGGGCGTGGCATGGCTTGGTGGGCGTGGCAGGGAAGGATACTGCAAAATTCCCATTCCCTCCCATTCAGCTGGGACTCGGGAGGCAGAGAATATATGGGAGCAGGGCCAGTCAGAGGTGGTACTTACCGGTTCTCCAAACTACTCAAAATTTCCGCTACCGGTTCTCCAGAACTGGTCAGAACCTGCTCAACACCACCTCTGATACGGAGCCTCCCCCTTATTCTAGCCCCCTGAGTGTGAGGTAGGCAGGGCTGAGCGAATATGATTGGTCTGAATTCAGACGGACAGTTTCACAGTCAAGTGAAAAACTTGGTCGCCTGGTCCCAATCTAACATCTTTAACCGTTACACCACAGAGGGCGTATTCCCAACCAATTACTCCGTCGCTCCTACTAAAGACTCACCCATCCTCCAAGACAGCTGCTTTGTCACTGTCAGGTATGGTACCATTGAATCTTTCAGTGCCATTCTCGCTTCCCATTTTTTGCAGTTCCATCTTTGCAGTCAGTGGGATGTTTGCACACGGATGTGGGTAATGCCTTCAGGAAACCGCCAGCAACAGCAACAGCAATACACTTGTTTCAGCAGGATACCTGAGGACATGGAGAAGACTTCAACAAGCAGCATTCAATAATACCAAGGGGGTGGGGAGAGGGGCTGGAATTAGGTAGTACTGAGAATCCAAATATTCTGCTCCCAGCTGCAGGAAGGGTGTGGATGGGGGGGGTGGAGGGGAAGGGAGGCACTGCCAGAATAGTTTTGCCACTCTAATGAAAAGGCACGCCAAGAAACATACAGCAATTCCAACCCCATGCCTGGGGGAGAGTCTGTCCTGACAGAGGGTAGGTGAAGAAGGATGTTAGCCTGTTCCCTCTCCCATACACACCTTTAAGCACGAGTTGGCAGGCTGCTTCCCTAAGCATTTTCACACACATCTGCATGCTACTGCCAAGAAACATGGCACGTACTCATGTACTGGGTGGTGTACCAACTGCTCTATGAGCCCTCCTCCCCTAACAATAACCATTATAGACTAAGATAAGAAAAAAATGCACTAAAATCCATAGCCACTTTCTCAAAGATTCTGGCTTGAGAGAAGATGTATTTTCTTGTAGTTTTGTCTGAGGACTGGGGGGGGGGAGGGAAATCTTTGGGATCTTCCAGTATTTGAGGGGCTGCCCTAAAGAAAAGGGGGTCAACTTATTCTCCAAAGCACCAGAGGGAAATCTTTGGGAGGGGGGGGCAAAAGACATAGTAACATGTATAATGAATACAGCGGTTGTATTCATACCATAGATTTACTGAAGTATCATTGACCCAGCTTTATCCAGGAAAGAAAGTTCTAAATGCACAGATAAAACAATCCCCAAATTTGCAGAGCTACCTTCTTATTCAAAAGTGGTTAGACGTGAGATTATTTCATCCAGACTCTTCTACTTTTTCTCAACCTGCTGCTCTCTGAATATGTTGGGGGTACAATGCACACATATCCTGGACCACCACCCACACTTTCTGACTCCTAGAGTCACTGCAATTAGGCTTCTGAAACAGCCAATTTACAAATTTTGATTTAGACTTTATATTTGTCAAAGTTTTTGGAAGGGTGGTTTGTTTTGTCTGTATTTGACCACTATAGTATTTTGCCCTTTTAAGGCCTTGAGCTCAATGAACAGTTTCCGGGTCATAATGGGAACTAACTCCTATAGTCAGTGAGTGAGTGGTTTCTATAGAATAATTTAAGGCAGAAGTGGTGGGAATCAAACTCCTGATGAAAGTTGTAGTCCAAAATTCGATTGGAAGGCAGTGATCTGAAGAAACTGATGTTGGGATTTAATTCAGGCAGTCTGATCAAAAGCTGAAGCAAAAGGGATGCTTGAAGAAGATGGTGATATTTTAACCCCTATTTAGGATGCAAAAATGTGAGACAGGCAGATCTGAATAAGCAGGCTTTGTACAATAAGACATTCTCCATCATAAAGCTAATTAACATAAAAGGCTGCATTGTTCCCACCACCATCCTATCCAGCAGTATGCTTCTTAGGTCTCTTAGTTACATTACAGGCTGAAGTCAAGCATTAAAGATTTTACCCAGTTCAGAAAATAAAAATTAAAAAAAAAACAACCTGTGTTGTATGTCTGCTAGGAAAATTTTACAGAAGCCTCAGATTGCGAATCCCCTTAAACTGAAGATAGCAACAGGCCTCTCTGCAGTGGAATATTTTTGGGAAGGCCACTTAGGTTTCTAACCTGCACCACACTATAAATTTAACAAAAGAAAAATCCTGAGGGAATGGGGAAGGCAAAATTACTCAATCCTTGATCAAGTATATAATGTTAAATGCACATTTACATTTTTTTTTTCTTTTTCTTTTTTTAGCAAATTGAGTCAGCAACTTGCCCCCACAGTCTGGGTCTTCATTTCACCCACCTCGGAAGGATGGAAGGCTGAGTCGATCTTGACTATCCAAACCAGAGGTGTCGGGTAAATGAGACCTTTAACTTTCATTCCACTCCACAGTAATCCAATTAATCCTTCCCAACTTCTAGCTGTCTGGAAGAGAACTCCCACCAACGCTAATGGGAATAGTCCCAGGTGCAGAAAATAGAGAGAGGCACACCTGCCTATGGGGCCCAGGAACCCAAGGGTTAACTATGCCACCTGGGAAAAGCTCTGAGGCTGGGTGGGGCAAAAATGCAAATGGGGATGTCTGATTGGTGCCTTGATCTTTAACCGCATCCTTCCCTTGGAGATATATTCCCACAGAAAACATAGAACAAGAACTTTCTATTCTGGTGGGATGAGCCCAGGGGCCCCCACCACGCTGGGAGTAATAACTGTGACTGGATTCCTCAGTTCTTCTTTCAGCTTGTGGGAGGTACAAAACAGCAACTGTTGAGAACCCGTGCCCTCTAAATATTGTGAAACTACAGCCATTCCAGCCAACTTGCCCAACGCTGCAACCCTACTGTGGCATGAAAGGGGGCGAATGTGAAAGCTGCGTAAAGTTTACGGTCCGGTGGCATGTTCTTTCCAAAACAAAGGGTGGCTGATTTGAGGCTCAATGAACTATGTGAAATTAGCCCTTTTGATTAGTTTGTTGTTCAGTGTGTTGGGTTAATCATTCCTTAACCCAGGCGATGGGTTAACCATGGTTAAGTAACCAAGGGTAATTGTCCTGCAAACACAGCGGACTGGTGTCCCAGCTTTGGCCTGGTGTTTCCATTTGGTCATGCCACTTATGATTTCAGGTCAGGGGTTCCTAAACTTTCTGCCATCACCCCTCCTTTTAATGTAATCTTAACTTACACACCCAGCCATCCACATATGGAAAAAGAACACAAAGGAACCATGAAAGCAATACAAAAACACTATAGGAAAGTTGGATTTATTATAACAATGTGACTAAAGGGACCTTTACCTCTCCCCTGGATTCTGCCTGCACCTCCCCAAGGGAGGTGTACCTCACAGTTTAGGAAATCCTATGCCAGAAACACACCTAGGATGCAAACACAGGAGTTGGAGCCTGGGCGAAAGGAAAAGCTGGCCTGATGTGGTTGACTACGAAAATGCATGCAACCCACAAAACCTGTTCCCAGGACACTCCTAAAGTAAAAGGGGTGGGAAGGAGAGGGGAAAAAAGAGGCTGGGAAAGAAAAATCAAGAATTTAATATTAGCTATAGCTGGGCTTTATGGTATTTCCTTTCTGCAATATGAAATATAAAAACTAATCATCCATTCTTCAGCCACAGAAATGGAAGACAAGTGGGCTACTGGTTTGTGGACTTCTTTAAACCTTCCTATTGATGAACAAGCCATGAGCATAGCCATGACTGGTGGTGCTATTTTAATATGTTTACTTACTTACGTTCAATTGTCTTCAGAGTGGTTTTTAGTTTAATAGCATTTTGCATGAGGCTTCCCTTGACCTAAAGTTTTCAAGCGTTTTGCCAAAGATTTTTAAACATTGTGATTTATATTAATTGCCGTTAATAATGACAATAGCAGATTTACATAACGCACAGAGCCTTAACATGGTTTTGTTCTTGATCAAAGGTTGTCTAAACCCTGCTTGCAACAATAGTATAGTCTGCAAACCTGTAGCTTAGTGTGAGTGAATGCAGCCAATCATGTCTTCTTTAATAACCCATAATTAAGCAAACTGTGAGTTCAGATCTTACCGCAAGGGAAATGTGTCAGTCCTTTTCTAAGTACTAATGAATTAGATTGAAATTAAATACATCTCTAGCCCATCCACAAAGGACAGACTCGTTGTTTACACAACTCGGCACTCTTAATCAACAGCCAAACATGACTAGTGTGTCATTTCACCACAGCACAGCACTGCCACCCCCACAGCCTTCATCCCATTTCGAGGTCTGAAATATCATCTTGATTTGCAAACATTATAAAGCAATAAAGGCTTATTTTTTGGACCGTGGGAAAATCTTTTATTTAGCCTGTGGTCCCAATCCCTAAAAGAAAACCGAAAGATGAAATCAACCAAAAATGGTTTTACCCAATAGCTGCTAGCAGCAGGGCCAGAAAGATTATTTCCTTTTGTTTCATACGCACACGCATGCACACACACACAAAACACACAAAACACTTCCATTTTCTTCTCTTCCCATTGGTTGAGAATATGAATTATTTACAAGGAGTATCCAGATTGTATGATGCAGTACAGAGTATGGATCTTTTAAAAAAAATGTATTATAAAAACCATGGTAGCTATGTTTGACAGAGTGACAAATGTGAACAATTATACAAAATGATAAATTACAACAAATAGATGTATACTGATAGAATGTTCACGAAACATGGGAAATGGGTTCACTGACAAATGCGCGCCGACAAAACCGCGCCGACAAAACCGTGTCCACAAAAAGCGCGCAATCCACAAACAACATAGTGGGATGCGAAAACAACATTATAACCCTAACCCTAACCCTAAAAGATGGCGCGCTTTTTGTGGGCGCGGTTTTGTGGGCGCAGTTTTGTGGGCACGCATTTGTGGGGTCACGGTGAAATGGATAGAGAAATGTTAAGATGTACAGTACTAGTAGAAAAGTAACTTGAGATATATGGGAAATTAATGTTTAAGAAGCAAAATTTGCTTTATTTACTGTATAAAAAAACATGCTTCTGCTACTTTGCCATATGAAAGTGAGAGTTGGGGTGCTTCAGGAGAAATACAGAAGTTAATTGAATGCAGTAGCAATGGGGAATTTGTGTGATAACAAGGCAAAATAAAAAAATAAACGGATTAGGAAATACTGTAAATTGAATACAAAAGTATCCAACATGAGCAATAATAATGTAGAGAAGCATAATCATACAGCTGAATGACTTATATGATCTGAAGAGAAACCGAAATATGTCATATGCAGTAAAAAAAAGTAAATGAGGATCAAATTGCAAAACATATATAAGAAGAATTAACAGGGCAAAAATAAAAAGATCAAGAAAATCATGGGTCTTTCTCACTGATCTCAGCCAAATTCCTTAAGAAGACATACGTAAGCATACTTACAAAATTATGACAAAAAATGTGTTTCAAATAACTATATTGGTACATGCACTGAAACTCAACAGAACGGGTAAAATAAATGTATGGCAAATTTCAAATGACCTCTCCAGACCAAACTGAAATAGTTTTTAATAATGAAAAAAAAAAGTTAGAAATGTTCTGAACATTGTTCAGAACAAACAAAATTCCTGCCAGTGTGGAAATTTAGTTACAATTCTACTTTTAACTAATAATAGGAGAGCAATGATTGGGCACGGATAGGAACCTCCTCCCTCAAAGCAGCCTTGGGCACAATCATGACTTTTGAACAATTAAACAACTGGTATCAAATTTCTGAAATGTCCTCCCAAAGATGACATTTCTAACCACTGAGTGCATTTCAGGTAATTAACCTCAAAGTCACTTTTATTTATTTATGTGTTGCATATTATCCACAAATACAGCAAAACTGGAATGAGATACATGGAAAATATAATTATGTTATCTCTGAACAGTGCAATACAGAAGTAAGAAAAAACATAGCAATTTTTTAAAGATCTTGCAACTAGGACTTCTGAAGACAGAAACTGGCCTATTCAGACAAGTAAAATGAAGGGGAGTTTATTGTCTAATCAATTTAGGGGTTGCAAAATTGAGGGAAATGTAGGCAGAAGAACGGGCAGAAGTCAGACGGTCTATAGTTCCTGACCTGAATAAGTAACAGATTTAATTTCTTCATCCTTCTATCAAGCTAATGGCTACAACAGTTATATTCTTTCAGAATCAAGTGGGAATATGACCCAGAGACTTCCTGTCCACGCCCAGAATTTTAATCATCAATAAGTTTCTTCAGACGCTACAATTCAAACTATCAATGCACATTTTGCAGCAAGCTCTACTTTTCATTTTCTTAGTAGAATATTCAGAATTTTTTAAAAAAAGAACATGAAGAAACAACTATTGCTAAATGTGAGTATGATGACACTAAGTCTGCAGAAGGGAAATGGGTGTGCAAAGTAACCACAAACCTTTTAGCAGATAATGTCCAGACCACTAATCTTTAGAATGAGTTCTTTCTCACAACAATCTGACTTTGATACCCGAAGGAATCCTGTTACAACAAGTATGTTGTTTCTTTCACTGTTGCAGCAGATTGGATCACCAAGTTTGTACTATCGTAAGCGGGCTTCTTCCTATGATACAAAACACGAACAATCACAACAGGAGGACTCAGCAGAGGTTGGAGCAAGTGAAAAGCATTTCTGGTTCTGAAGTTCTACTGACAAAAGGAGATTGATTGATTTATGTATTATGTAACCTCCCACTCCCGTGGCAACAACATTCAATCAATGAAATAGGCCATTTTATGGGCTCCGTTCTACTCTGGGGTTCCCAGGCCCATTGGCAAAACCAGGCTTTCAGGGTCTTGTGGAAGAGCCAGAATGGGGGCCAATCTCTGTGGGGATGATGTTCCGCAGGGAGGGAGTTATCACAGAGAAGGCCCTTCTTGATCCTATTAGATCAGGGGTGTCAAACTGGCAGCCCACAGGCCAGGTGAGTTTTACACGCAGGCCACGCAAACCACAGCTCCGTGAAGGGAAAAAACATCACGATACGTCATAGGATGGCAATGTGACACAGTGAGTTTGACACCCATGTACTAGATGGACCTCCTTAAGAGAGAAGACTATAGCAGTGTTTCTCAACCTTGGCAACTTGAAGATGTCCGGACTTCAACTCCCAGAATTCCCCAGCCAGCATTCGCTGGCTGGGGAATTCTGGGAGTTGAAGTCCGGACATCTTCAAGTTACCAAGGTTGAGAAACACTGGACTATAGCATGCCTTGCCTCCCTGCTGTGGTGGGTCATGTAAATGTGACAAGCAAAAATAGTCCGTCAAATAACCTGGCCCAAGGTGACAACCAGCACCTAGAATTGGACCCGGATGTACAGAAAGACTGGGGAAATACTTGAAAACATGTTCACAATAACTAATGCAACCAGGTGAATCATTACAAAAAAAGGCAGGAAGGTGAAGGAGGCAGGAAGAATGTATAGCAGTTTTAATACAATCCATTCTTTGCTCAATAATTTGAGTGGGACAAAGCAAATTGTTTTGGAATAAACTCGAAGAAGTTAGTATGTGAACATTAGATGGATGTTTCAAGAAATACACACAGAATTGCAGCAAAGTAATATAGAAGATGATTCACATCTGGTTATAGGCTATTTTCCTTCATTCGGTCTACTGTCTTGTCTGCCTTGATCAGAGTTACCATATATCTTAAACACATCTGAAGGGCACTGGGTTTGTGTTAGTTATAACTAAGGAGATATCCCATATTCACTCCTAGACTTTGTTTTACAGAAAATGGATGGTCATTGCATGGAGCTTAGTCTTTTCTCTTTTGCCCAAGAGCCAATTTTATGAAATCAACTGAAGCGAGTATCTCTTATTGAAGAGAAACCATTTTTTTTAATTATTCTGTCTTTCTATTTTATAACTGTAGATAGCAATAAACATGTGTAAAAGGAGAATCAGGTACAGGAAACAAAAGACTTCAAATATTGTTGAATTACAGTTCCTAGCTTGTACAGCTGACATGGGTTTACACATAGGTTGCTACAAGTTGCTGTGAGCTCATCAACATTTGGAAAGCCATACGTTCTCCAGGTTTTATGCTTCAAAATGTTGAGGTGGTATTATCATGTAAAGTCATAGAATATAAGACATTTAGTTTATATTCCATGATTCTTCTGAGGAGCTCCAAGTGTGTTTGTGGAGTGGGGGTGTCACCTTTCTTTTATTTACACAAAAGTGTGAAGTAGACTGTGCTGAGAAAAATGATTGAGACTAATCCACCTGGTGGATTTCAAGCTGAAGCAGGGCCCCACCATTCAAGTCCAAACACTAATTACAATATAATATTAGCAATGACATCATTATACTTCTACAAATTTAAACACTATTATTATAAAAATCTGTTTATTTTATATGAATTATTTCACTCTGTATAGGGACCCAAGCTAAACAGGGCCAGGAAAGTGTGAGAATTTTGAATCTATGTAATTTAGGGTAATAAGACATTTGAGTCTTGAGCAAGATAAAATCCAATATTGTAGAAAAGCGGGGTAGATTCCGATTTCTAGTACCTCCTCCAAATATCAGATCTGATGTGACTTTGTATATGTCTGGGGATCGCACAAGAGTAGCTCAAACCTAGCTGTTAAGTCAAGTGATTAACAAAATCCCTGAAATCCGAAAAGGACCTGGATACTTTCCAGTAACAAATGCTAAAATATAAAGAATTGTCTGCTGCTGATATGTGGATTGACTAACAGCACAACCGTTGCATTCTTATTCTGAGGTAAACCCCTTTGCACCCATTGGTTCCAGAAAATTGTGCACAGCACTAAAATTGCATTGTGTTAAGTCCAGTGCTTACTTCAAAGGAAGCCAGGAAATGATTGTATTGCAAATGGTTACTAAACCAAAACAAAATGATATAAAAATACTCTCTTTCATTGTCAAAAACAAATCAAAGTGTATGTTTGCATTTTGTCTCAACCAGTTCCACCAAAACCTCTTAAGCTACACAAACAAACAAGATTCGTTTTCTCAGCTCTACTTTCCTTTGCAGGGCATAAAATGGTTCACTTCCAAACCAGCTGCTTAAATAATTGCTGTATTTACTGACCGATTTCATGAATATCTGCTTAATGAAAAACTTCATAGAAATATGGGTGTGTTTCTGTAGAGGGTAAAGAAGTATAAGCTTGTCAACAAGTAAAGTCTTAATTTAGCCAGGGAAGATATAGTCGTCATATTCAGCTCCCTTACCTAAAAGATGTTAACAATTTAAAAATAAACCTTACCAATAATTTGCTTGGAACTAAATCTCATAGAGTTTCAACAAGGTTTAATCCCAGGAAAATATGTCCAAATTTGCTTCCTAAATTTGAGTTTGGTTAATCTACCAAAGAAAACATCTAACCTAAATACTGAAATTGATAATGAAATGCCAAAATCAGAGGACTATGGACTTAAACTAGCAAGAACTGATTGCTGCTGTCTCATGCATGTAGGATCTCAGCGTTAAGAGAGATACTAAGGTCTTTCTGCCCCCCCCCTATTACAAATATTAGTGATGCAATTGAGGCCTGCCACCCACTCCTCTTTCCAAATCTTTCTTCCAAATAATTTTATTAAACATTACAAATAGAATAAAAACTAATAGCGACTACAAAAAAATATAAAAAGAAAAACAGAATGAAAAAAGGAAAGAAAAAGGAAGGAGAGAAGTAGTTTCCCTCTTCATCCCAGCAAACGTAAACAATTTTACTAGCTTATCACCATTTCTTAATACAACGTATACTCCCTTTTTCCCCATAACTCTTATCTCTAAACTAAAAGCAAAATCCAAAACTGTTATCATTGTTCCTTATCAACAGAAGTTGAATAAGGAATACCAGATACAATTAATCAATGTTAAACTTGAATGAATAAAGCCAATCACATATTCATTCTGAATTGAATAATTTTGATTTTTAACCCCTTCAAATAAAGTTCCAGAACTTGATTTCTGTTCATCTTTTTCTTTCTCCCAAGAAACTTTCGGGAACTTTAAAATATCTCTTTTGTACATCCAGAAGTAAGGCATGTCTCTTTCTTTAGTCACTTCTCAAAAAGACTTTTAACAGACTTCTTTTGTCCTCCCCTCTTTCCAAATCAATGTACATTGCGTACAGGAATCAGGCAATTCTTATCAGATTGCCTGGTTCCAACAGAGGTATTCATGAAATCCCATAGCTTCTCTATGGGGATGGTTCCTGTAAGTGCAAAGAAATTGGGGAACCAAAGAAACTAGATAAGCTATCCCCTGGGTTGGATTAGAACCTGTCACCTAGTGGCTTTCACCAACTAGCAAACAGTATACTGGTAGTCCTTGACATACAGCAGTGACCATCCAAAGTTACATTATCACTGAAAAAAGTTGACTTATGATCATTTTCCATACTTATGGCCCTTGCTGCATCCCCATAGTCACCTGATCAAAATTCAGACACTTGGCAAATGACTCATATTTATGACGGTTGCAGTGTCATAGGTTATAAATCACCTTTTGCAACCTTCTGAGAAGCAAAGTCAATGGGGAAGCCAGGTTCACTTAGCAACCATGTTACTAACTTAACAACTGTGGCAAGAATGGTTGTAAAATGGGGCAAAATTCACTTAACAAATGATTCACTTAGCAACAGAAAATTTGAGGTCAATTGTGGTCGTAAGTCGAGGACTACCGGTACAAACCTGAAAGCCAACCGACGATGAGCGGCTCTCTGTGTGAGAAGGTCTTTTCAATACATCCTCCTAGATCAGAAAGACTTTGGTAGAAGACTCACCTGGTATCTATGGTTGGGAGAGTCTTTCCATGCTGTGGGTAGCGCTAAAGGCACAATTAAATTGGGAGCCAGAAGACGATTTAAAAGGTCCACAGCCATCATCCACCAAAGCAAGTGTCTCCCCTGAAAAGATTGCCAATTTCCCCACTCCAATGCATAGATACTTTGAAATAAGCTCCATGTGCTACCTTCATATTAGATGGCAACACTGGGAGGAGCAATACGCGGCAGCACACACATGTTCAGTGCACATCCACTTTAAACAAAAAAAAACACACGCCATCCTAAGGACAACCATCAATCGGCAGGAAAAAGAGCAAGATGTAAAACCAGCATTTTTTTTTCATATTTGCTGTTTAAGGGATCTTCCAAAGGCAGAGTCTTATTTCTTGACCCACCCCCACGCTCTTTTCTCCAGAATCCAGATGCTGACAAAAATTAGCATCAGCCAGGCCATGCCCAAAGACAACTGCAGCTATTCTTGTCGGTCTTGCTTAGGGTGGAAAAAGTGCTGAAATTGCTTCCAGCTGTATCCATATGCATTCATTCTTCCGTTTTCCCCCACGCAACTGTAGGCATATGAGGACAACCAGACAAATATGCGCCTTCCCCAACTTAAAACTGCAAGTGCCGAGTATGGAAACTGGGAAAAAAAGGCATACGCTCTGCAGCCACTCCCTTTCTGAGGTTGCAGGATAAAATTTTTCTTGTGAGCTGTATCTCGCTTCCTGGATTAGCTGGAAAGCCCCTCTCCCCATTTGCAAAAGAAGAAATGAGCATTACTGTCTAGACACAAAATGGGATGGTTGCTGTGTACTCCAGGCCAATGGAAAAAAAACTGCAAAGGCCAGAAGATGACAGGGCTTGATATATGAATGAAATCAACCTACTGGCCAGGGTTTGGGAGAGTAACTGAGCCCTAAGCAGTTTCTATTTGGTCCCAGGTTGATCTCTGTTTGTTGAAAGGAGCAGGAATGCAGCTTGACCCTGAAAGACCCTGGCAGCAATTCTGATGCAGCTCAACTGCTCAGCCCTCCCAGGGTATCTTCAGTGCTGAAACCAAGCCCAAAATAAAATTAGGAAAAATGCTTCCAAGTCTATATAACATCTCAGGGCTGTTTACACATCATTTGATGACTCAAATTTTCCATCGCATATGAGTTAAAAAGACCTAAGCCCCTCAGCTACAATGTTCACATTGCCTACCCTACAATGCTTACTAGCATCAGTCCTCCAAAACTGGTTCAGACGAACAAAACTTCCAGCGATTACTTTACACCCGCAGTGGGATTCACTTATCTTCCCTAGCGGTTTGCAAATGTAATCTTCCATAATCTCTGCAGATGACTACTAAGGGCAGAGAAACACATTCTCACATTGTGAATCAATATTAATTCCAAGGAAAATTCGAGCCTTGGCAATTCTCCCTTTGGATCCAGCAAAGGAGCTAAAGCTCATCCTGGTTTAAAAATAAATATATTCTTTGAACACAGACCCAAACAGGAAGAGCAGAGAAAGAATAGGCTCACTACAGTCTTCTATACAGGTAGTCTTTGACTTATGACCATTATGGAGTCTGTCCATTATAACCTTTTTTTTTGTGGCAATCGTTAAGTGAATTCTGCAGTTGTTTATCAAAACAATGGGCACAGTTTTACCAAAACCTGGAAACGGAGATTTTCAGCAAAATCTGGAAATGCGGATTTCACCAAAACTGTTATAAAATGCTGTCACGTGACTGTAGGATGCTGCAAAGTTTGGAAAGATAACACTGGAAACAGTCCTAGCTGCATTCATACATTGTTGCGCTGAATCATATAATGGTTAACTTGGCTTTGATTTAGTGCAATGTGTGAACCTAGCACTTTGTATTTGTAAACCTTTGTTTATAGGTTGAGTTTATATTAAAATGAACGTATAGATAGACCAACTGCTACCTGGTTACTGAATGCCTGAAGTCCAGTTACATGATCAGGGGAACAACCACTAGAACTTTATATCTAAGTCATAAGTAGCCTCAGGCAGGTCTCTTGTAACTTCAAACAGTTGCTAATCAACCTGTCCTAAATTAAGGACTAGCTGCAGTAGGACCTAAGCAGAAGATATGAACAAGTAGTGGAGGTGGAATGGTGAATTTTTATCTTTTAAAAATATACCTAATTACATGCTAAGACTTTTTAACAGCATAAAGATATATATACACGTTTGGCAAATGTTTATGAAAACAACAGATTCCTAAGTTTGTGCAGGCTTTGAAAGTTGATTCCAAAAAAAGTGTTCCAGCCTTTGCACAACTCTGCTATGTATTTAGAGCTCTGGACATTTTTCAGACTTCTAAATAAGTGTTGCTTATTTATTTAGCACGTCTAACCCATCCTATCACAAGACTTGGGGAAAGACTTGGAAAAAGAGTAGTTAGTGGATTTCTTACAGCAGCAAGAAGCAGCAATTTCTTTTTATTTTAGGCTCACTTGAAATTTTACTTTAATGAAGTGCTGAAAAATGTTGCGCTTTGCAAGAGCTCCAAACATAACCACTGCTGCCTAATAAAGTAAGCAAAGGTGTAAAAAAGTGACACGTATAAATGTGGGAAATAGATTTAAATGACCGGGTACTCTATTTGCAAAGAATATTGAAAAGGCTCTCTATGTTTACACTATTAATTGTGGTGATGGGAGGATGTCAAATAAATCTGCCATTATTTGATGAATACTGAAAGAAGGCAATCAACAGACACGGGACAGATATACTGACCTTATTTATCCATGGTTAAATTCAGCTTTATTGCTGCATTTGGAAGGTATCAAAACTGTCCCTTGGACACAAATTAGTGAAGGCATAGACAAACACACACATATACACTCCCCATTTTCAATCTTTCCTATTTTGGTAACCAATATATCAATTTTAAGTGTTTAACATAGTAATTAAACTGCACATGGTGCAATCAAACACAGAGAAGATCTTGATGGATCCTACAACAAAGAAGACCTATCTACAAAGCATCCCTAAATATAGATTAATTACTACCCTTCAATACATTTTAAACCAGCCTAAAATGCCCACAAGGCAGGAAACAGAGTAACCACTCTGAACCATGTTAAATGTATAGAATGAGGGGGAAAAAATAGAGGCATTGAATTACTTCAGTGGAATCACTGTCCATCAGGGGGTGTGGGATTGACATCATATATACCATGATTTCATTGTGCAAATGACACAATTTCATAATTCACATGGAATGTTGTTAGGAAATATATGTTGCAATCTTGCATATATTCCCTAATATTCCATGCACAAAGGCATTGTACTTTCTGCTAACCCACCTTTCAGATAAGTGGGCATTGAAATTTCCAAAATCCCTTTGGCTTCACTGGCTGGCAATTGGAGTTGAAGTACAACAAGCACAGAGGGCACCTGGTTGAGGAAACTGCCCTAAACTGTCCAGAATAATATTCTTTCCCAAGATCAATTCTCAAATCCAGAATTCAAAATCCACCCTTTAAGATAGCCTGAGATATTTGGTGCCTCAGTACAAATAGTCCATTGAAATTACTGACAATGTTTCGCCTTTTAAAGGAGCCAAGCTTGTCTAGAGGGAAATTTTATTTTTTTTCAAATATCTTCCCATTATCTGTGATATGCAGACAACTTTACACAGTAATGTTAAAATTATAGGTAGTCCTCGACTTAACAACCACTCATTTAGAGACCGTTCAAAGTTGCAACAGCACTGAAAAAAAGACCTATGATCAGTCCTGATGCCTAATAGGACTGTACCAGCATCCCCAGAGTCATTTGATTGAAATTCAGGCACTTGGCAACTGATATGTATTTGCCACTGTACTGGGGTCATGTGATCACCATTTGTGATCTTCCCAGCTAGCTTCCGACAAGCAAAGTCAATGGGGGAAGCTATACTTGTTTAACAACTGCTTGATTCACTTAACAACTTCAGCGATTCACTTAGCAATCAGGGCAAAAAAAAAAGGTAATAAAAATCAGGCATGATTCATTTAACAATCAACTTGCTTAGCAACCGAAATGTGGGTCCCAATTATGGCCATAAATCAAGGGCTACCTGTATGGCAGCGCTAAAGCGATGTGAATTCACTGTTTATCGTAACAGTAATTGCTAAGATTTAGTCTTTTGAATCTTGATGATTCAAAAGGCTAAATATTAATAAACTGAGTTTAGGCCATCTTATGTACTGAATACACACTTGACAGGAAAAAGTATATTCAACACAGTACTGTATTCCCAATCCCTGCCCTGCTAAACATTGCTGTCTTCTTTCTCCAACAAGACTTCTCTGATCCCCAGAGAGATGCCCTGCAACTTATAATTCATGTTCAAGTTTGACCGACTTAATTCTCTTTGAACTTGGGGCCATTTCAAGCAGGATCCACCCTCACCCACCCCTAAAACGCACCACGAGTCTAAGCGGGTATCCAAACGTTCAATTTTAATTAAAACTCCCGTCCAATCCATTTGTCTACTCTAGAATCCAATGAATAATTTGCGCTGGTACCTTCTCTTCTTTATTTCAAAGATCGGGTGGTAACCGACAAGTTGTTCTGGGATCGATTTCGCATGTGTGCTTGGAATGTCCGGGTGTGTTTGTCCGGGTGTGCGGGTGTGTGTGTGCTTGCATACAGTATACGTCTATATATTTCGAGAGAGCCCACGTGGCAACAACTAATCACCCAAAATAAAACACCCAGCCCTTCCAGCCAACGGCTTGCTGAGAGGGTTAGAAACCCTGGTTTCTCCCCCCCCCCTACCGTCCTGAACGCTAGCATGCATGAAGCCACCCCTCCGCGCCCTCTCTTCCCCGCTGAGGCCCCCTAAAAGGGGTTTGTCTCTCGCTTGTACGCGTTGGCTTTCCCGGCCAAACCCACCAACTTACAACCGCGGAACCCAGCGCCGCCGAGAAGCACCTCCACACGCACACACTTACAGTCCCACACAAAACTGCTCGTCCCTTGGTGACCCCCCACGCGCTCTTTTGGTCAAAGTTTCTTCGAAGTCCCTTGAAGTCTCCGCGGCCGGCGGGGAGAAGAGTGGGCGCTCCCCCGAAGGGCCCTCTCCGTGGAGGTGCGGGGGTGGGGGGGGGTAGAGACTTGGAGAGGGCAAAGGGACCCCCCCTCCTTCTTTTCCTCTTAAGCCCCACGAGTCGACCTCCTTCCCCCCCCCCCCTCCTTCCCGCCGCTTTCCCAAACGGCGGCCGCTCGGACATCTGATGCAACAGCTCGAAGGGGTTGCAAGGAGGAGCAGCGCGCGCCTCGTTGGGTCCGCGCTCGCGCCTCTCCCCTCGCGCCGTCCCTCCTCTGAACAGCGCACTCACCTTCTGCTTTTCTTGAGGGAAGAGCCTGGGAGCCTTGAGAGAGGTTTTCCCCTCCGAAGAGAGAGAGAGAGAGAGAGGCAGGGACAGAGAGGCAGAGAGGAAGAAGAGAAGTGGAGCGGAGCTGAGGTTTTGGGGCTAGAGGGGGCAGCTCTCCCAGAGCGCGCAAACATATACACAGAGAGGCGCTGTAAGCGGCGGGCAGGGGCGGACGGGCTTAGCGCGTGCCAGCCTCACAGCCAATCACACCCCGAGGAATTAAAGACTTCGGAAGAACGAGGGCCGGTGGGAGGGAGGGGAAGGAGAGCAGGTGAAGCGCGGGCTCTTCGTCTTTTGTTCCTCGCGCTCCGTCCGAGGCTCCGATGGTCTCGCCGAGCCTTCCGGCGCCCCGGAAAATCCCAACAGTCTGAAAAAGCCCTGAGAGAGGTTCCGTGGTCGTGTAAAATTCATCGTGTCGTGCGCTCCCCGCACATTAGTGTAGCTTGCCTTTTTTGAAGGGCTGTAAGTTGTGTTAAGCAATAGTTAGGCTTATATACCGCTTCCTAGGGCTTTCAGCCCTCTCTAAGCGGTTTACAGAGTCAGCATAT